AAAAAAAAAAAATCAATCCTACAACAAAGCATAATGTAGCGCGTCTAAAAGGAGCACAAACAAACATGGCAGGCAATTCATATTCTCCTACTGCAGAAATACACAGAAAAGCCTACTTTAGATACTGAAAAGCTTATTCAAGTGTTGCCAGGTGGTAGCGTTTGAAATGGTCAAAGGCAGAATGTGACATTAGTCTACATTCCAGGAATTTTATTTATGACGGGCAAGCAGAGTAGCTATTTTCCAGTTTATGTTACTTTCATCTTTCAACTAATATAGAACATGAATTATCAGTAGATCCTAGGTGGTCATAGATGAACAGTTACTTTATTCAGTGACAGCTGATTTTATTGGATTCTCTTTTAAATGCAGACTCTAAGTACTCTAAGACTATCATTTAGAGTACTGTAAGAAAATTGAATGATGGAGGTTTTTATTACATGAAGAAATCTAATTATGAAAGAAGAGTTTGTATCAAATAGGATTCTATTGTGTGATATAAATAATAAGCATACTCATGAGTTAAAAATATACGTTTCAAGGGGCGCCTGGGGGGCGCACTCAGTTGAGCATCTGACTTTGGCTAAGGTCATGATCTTACAGTTCACGGGCTCGAGCCCCGCATTGGGCTCTGTGCTGACAGCATGGAGCCTGGAGCCTGCTTCAGATTCTGTGTCGCCCTTTCACTGACCCTCCTCTGCTCTGTCTCTCAAAAATGAATAAATGGTAAAAAAAATTGTGAAATATATATGTATATGTTTCAAGAGTACAGAATTTCTTTCTTGCAGATTCAGTTGAGGTCCTGTCTTAGAACTCAGATGCTAGTACTTTGAGGAAGAAACTCCTTCCTGAGTTGAGGCCAAGTTTGAGTAAAAATAGCTATCATTTAATCAGTGTGTGACATGCACAGTTGTTGAATGAAATAATTTAAAATCATACCAACAGACACCTGGGCTTTATTATAATAGCACATTTTTCCCCTCTGGCATTTAAAAGACATGCTCTAATAGGGATAGAGTTTGAAATCATGCATTTTCACAAATGGACTATTAGCATGACACTGAGA